TGCCAAGGATTCAGACAACAGGGCCAAAAGCTGGGTTCTCCAATGGGCAGTGTTTGCTTTCAACACCGTGGGGTTTCAGCAATCTGGCAATGCCGTCCTTCACTGAATCTCCTTGCAAGGAGGCAGGATGCTACACTAGATGCAGAGTATGCTTAAACAATAGTGGGATAGAGCTGGCATCAATCTACTCTTCAGAGGAACTGTGGTGTTCATAATGTTTATGCAAATTTGAGACACTCCTAAAAACCTTTGAGTCTCTGACCAATCGCCTGCATGCAATACAGCCTTCCCCCTAATATCTACTCACCTGTCCAAACTCCAAAATCTCCTCAAGGTGGGAACTGTTTTTCTTCAAAGGCTGGTATGACACGTGTTTTTTCCATTAACAAACAATTGCAGCATTACACATCCTTTATTCACCTGTTTCCTGTTTTATGCTAGAAGTTAAGCTGAGGAACAGGAAAGAGGAAGGACAGAGGTCACCTCTTTTCCTTACCAACTCCCTAACCCAACATGGATCCTGCCTCCCAGTTAATAATAATTTTTAAGGTTGGACCACATGATTCTAAATAAGGCATTGGTCTTAAAGACTTGTAAGTTTATAGTGAAATTTCCATGGCAAGTGTAAACTGAGAGTTGTACTCCCTTAGCTACAATGCTTCCTTTTCTATTTTGAGAAATGCACTAGATAGCTGTGCACATTCATAGCTCTGGCTCTGTGCAGCTGCATGTTCCTCCACCTCTTGCCTCTTTAATGACAATGAAAAAGATGCTTGTTTTGGTCTCCAAATAACAATGGCAAAAAGAAAATGAGTCTATCTCATTGTTTTTTTTTCCTGGTATTATTTACTGCAGTTTATGACATGACACCAGCAGTTTTCTGACCTGGAAGATAGTTTACCCCAGACTCCTGCATGAGCAAGCCATGGAGATGTCCTTCTCAGTGCTTGAGAACAATAAGGTCTGTGACAAAGGAGGGTGAGCTATTCCCATCTGTGAGAGGAGTTGCATGGGGAATTGAGATGATAGCCTTGAGGGAGAAGAGCCCCTCCATTCACTCATACCAGCAATTTCTAAAACAGACCAACTGCTGAGATGTACGCAGTTTCCAGTGTTGAATTATACATACAGAAATGTCTTGCTTCTGCTTCACCTAAATCCATGTGTTCTGCAGTGACATTCCAGCCCACTGCCTTTCTCCAGGAGATGATGAATGACTATTCATCCAATCCATGTCTCTTCAACAACTCAAAGTCCTTCTTTTCATTATTGTATGTCAAACTGCGGCTGTGAGCTTTTGGTGATGTTGCTACATCAGTGTTGTCCATAAGCACAGTCCCCAGAAAAGAAATGCAGCCATGGATAATAATGCCTGACCTTAAGGAAATGTTTCTTCATTTTCTGCTGCATTTCATCTGGATGAAAGAATGGTCAAGAGAAGCTTTCCCTGGAATACAACCTGGAGGCATGTCAGACAGGGTTTGATCAATTTGCCTCAGTATATTCCCTTTCCAAGCACTTCCACATTCTCCAGTCTTCAGCCCAAGCTCTCTTTAGCTAAGCTCTTTGTTGGACTTTACCCAGAGGTTATTTTCTTCCATTTCAGACATGAAAGCAGTTGCTGCTGCCTACTATGAGTTCCACACAATTGTGAAACTTTGAAATCAATGGCATTTAACTAGCTTAAAGTTGGTGTTATATAGCAGTGATTCATACACAGTGAGTCACAATGAAATGTCTCATGCTGTAACCAGCTGCCCATTGAAGGAAGATCTTGCCCTCTACCTAAGAACCAGAGCAGAGGCTGTGTGAACTTTTCAAAAGATTTTTAATCAGCTGTTACAACTTTTTTCCCCCATTGGTTAGAAGCACTACACAGGCAACTTCAGGATTGCTTGGGGCAGCTGTGTCTTTTCAAATTCCATACAGAGATGGCAGAAAAAGAAACTGGTGTTTTGGTCCAAGAGCTCTATTTTACAGGGACTGCATTTTCCTCCTGATTGGATCCTCTGTGTCCTGCCTCTGGAGGAGCACAAGGTTCACAACAGAAATAGTCTGGGCACCATAAGACCATGCCATTTGGCAGATTAACTGGGTGTTGCACCTCTGTGTAACAAAAAAATCTCTTCCTTGAAAATAATGCGTTTTCTCAGTACCCAGCTCATACTGCAGAGGAATCATCCTTGGGAACTACAAATTACCTCTAACTTCCACACCTTCCACTTCATGACTTATCCACTAGAAGTACGCAGAGATACATAGGTGTGGTAAAAAAAAATCCCAAACCACCCTTTCTAAAAGAATGCACTTCAGTGCACAGCCATTTCCCTTCTGGAGAGGAGAAAGAGCAAACAGCAGATGTTAGTCACGTTGCTTAGCACTCTGGAGGGCATTCAGATGTGCTGTGACTAGTGGGCTGTAAGGACTTATATGGAAGAGTTTCGGTTACACACGAGGAACTGCTAATTCCTTCTGAGAGCACTCAAGGCAAGAAACTTAATGACAGTTTAATGTCATGTTGATAAATGTCCACTTACAAAAAAGAAATAAAGATCCAATGGTTTTGGAAAGAAATTGTGGAAAAGGGACAGTCACTCTGGAATTAAGGCTACAGTAAAAGTTTCCATTTTAAATCTAACTTTTCTTCAGCACAGAAAAGCCTTCTTATACACAAAGAGCAGTGCCTTAATGTGAAGTAGATTTTTTTCTAGAGCTAGAGTGTAGTTTTCAGAATAATTCTGAAGCAGATAAAAAAATACAGCTGTGTGACACTACCTTAACCACTGTAATCTGCATTCTGGAGGATCTTTTTTTTGTTTGTTTTTATAAAATTAAGTTTGATCATCTGAGAGGTTTGAGGTGAAGGAAGTGACATTTCTCCTTAGCTCATGGTAAGCTCCTCAAGATTTTTAATCTAGCTCCTTGCTCAGAGATTATATACACCCTCCCCCACCAAACTCTGAATGCCGAAGGATTTTCCTTGGCCCACAGTCTTCCCCAGTCTCATGCCATCTACACGTGCCAACTCCAGGCCCACAGAGCTTGTCCTGGGTACAGCCTCATTCATCTCTAGAAAAACGCTCCTCAAAGGAGAAAGACCTCTCCTTAACAGAAAGAAAAGAACAGAAAACACTGATTATCTTTTCTGAGAAACAGAAAAGACAGATGCTCTCTCTTATGTGTACTGGGGAGGAATTCTTGCAGCCACACAGCAACTTTGTTAGCATGAGATGAGGTGGCCAGGCCACCAAAGGAAAATTGTGACCCTGAGATTACTGAGGAACACCGGGTATGGCCTCTCTTGCAAAACTTCTGTCATCTGTAAGAAGACTGCTTTCCAGGTCATTTCAACCTACCTGAGATAGGAATTAAGGATGTTACCTTGCATAACTTCCTTCATGCTGACATGAAGTTGAAGGCATATACTTATAGTCTGAGAACATATTACAGGTCAAAAGCTTTTCATAAGCAAAAGACAAAAACCAACTGCAATACTCAAATGACAGAGGCAGGAAATACACAGTGAAGGCTGTACCCCAAGGCACCCTAATCCTGTTCTGCAATAAAATTCAAAGACATGTCAGCTTCTCTGTCTCCTGGGACAATGTGCTGACAAATGACCATAGAGATGAGAAGGCTTCAAACACTATCTTCAGCTTCCATACATTTCCTGTTCCACAGAGATATATTAGGACAGAGCACATATGCATAATTTTTCAGCCTGATACATTTTTTGGTCAAGAATTTGTACGCAGATCAATCTCAGATTCTCACTGTCAGATTTTTCCAGTTGCTGGAGATAAGTAAGGATTTCAAGATCATATCACTGCTGCAATGGGACCTAGATGCCTAAGTCTACATTAAAACTATTATAAAACCAATCAAGATTTAATCTGAATCTTGAGCCATCTTTAGGCTCACAATAACCAAGTCCCTTCCCTATGAATGACAGGGGTTACCTGCCTTCAATCTTGAAATGTGAGTTAACTGATCCTTTTTGAGAAACTCAGATAGAAAGGAAACTCATCTCACACATGGAATTTGTATGCCAAATACTTGCCCTCTGTTACTCCCAGACTTTTGGCGCCCAAGCTGTGCTGTGTAGAACCACACAATCCAATCATCATACATTATTTTTTTTTAAATAAATAGATGGAAGTTTTTATGGTGCTCTCTTCATATCCATAGAAACAGTCATTTGGGAATACACCACCACTCATCAGGAAATTAGAGCACTTGCCTAAAAAAGGGAAAAGCCTGTAGTGACATAAAAACCTTTTCTGTCATCTATTTCATGTAGACAATCTATTAAGCCAAAATAACAGTATGCTCTGTTGCACATTTTCAATAATTGTCAGGCAAGACACAAGAAAAAGAAAGAAAAAAGTTTTTTTTACAGATTAGAAGCAGACACGTGGATAGTATGAAAATAAGCACTGTAAGTGTTTCAAAAATCCAACACAGTTCACAGGCACTGCTGTTTGTGTATAACACTGTTCAAATGATGTGCTTGTGAAATGTACCTTGACTCTTAATCCTCTGGGCTACCAGTGCTTGGTTTTGGTTTGTTTGCTTTTATTCACCTCCCACATTCCTGAGTGAAAATGTCTCCTGAAAGCATAAAGGGTGTGTGCAACTGTTGCTTTACTGTTCTGGTTATACACTGTACTTACAATGATACAGGAAGGGCCACCCCAAAAAACAGTGATCAGTGTCCAGCAGGGATGATTTAGGGTGAGACAACTGTATCCAGTGTGTGGAAGAGGTGAAGAGACAGCTTCTAGCATCAGAGGAGCTCTGGGGGCAGTGGGAAAGCCCAGTTGCAAACTATCAAAGTACGAGATAGGCATTGGTGCTGCTGCATAGCTGGACACAGTAAGCCACTGATGCAGCATGAAAAAAGAACGCTGTGGGTTGTCCAGGGCTGCTTTTTAACTCTTAACTTGCTTTTGTCCTTGCACTGTCTGAGCTGTGAGGTTTCTTTGCACAGAGAGGCAGTGTGGAGATATGAGATTTATGTATTTATATGCCTAGAAGTTCAGCAGACCTGCCTCTTCAAGATGTGCCATATGTGCATGAAGATCCATGCACACTTAGATTTCAGTCTGTGATTCCAAACCAAAACTTGGCTGCAGGATTTGAACCCAAGGGGAAGAGGAAGCACAAGCATACAAAACAGAAAAACCAGGCAAGAGACAGCAAAGCAGATATTTTCCAAGTTCTTGCTAATGACTACATCGTGCTGTGAAGGCATGGTGTGGCAATACCACAACAGCAAGGTCAATGAGGGCCAAAAGGAGTGCACAAGCCCTCTTCTAGAAACACCTTCACATCTTTGTTCTAGTCTGATAGTTTCTCCGCTTCTGCTTGCCTGGCATTTATCATAGACTGCACCTGGGCAAAAAGAAAAGGAAAAGAGTCATTTGGGAGCTTATTTGCTTTCACACTGATGCCCAGAACTGACCCTGACATTCCTCTGGAGGTTCTGTGCTTAGTGCATCATGGACCCAGCAGCAAACCTCAAAGATGGTGCCTCTCCAGATTGACTAGAGGGCAATTAAGACACTCACTATTTTCCTCTGTCTGCTTTCTTCAAACCTCCTCCCAAGAAGCAACCCACACGTCTAACTTGCTCCCAACCTATTGTTTCACTTCACTGACTTTGAATTACCTGTGTTTTAATACCCTGCAGGATCAGCAGAGACAGCTCTCTTGAATAGGGGGGTGTGGGCAGAAAAAAGTGCTCCCACCCAGTTTGGGACAGGGGCAGCTAGAGAAGGTCACAGAGATCTCTGTCATTAAGCTGTCTTCAATTCTCAGGTAATTCCAGGGCACATTCACCCCATTCTTCCCACACCCTCCCATACCTTTCCTTCCTCTCAGAACACACACGGTCCCTTGCAACCCTGGCACTGTGCTGTTCCTTGTGTTTTCTTCCTCCCAAGACAACAGACACACAGTCAGGGAAACAGTTCTGGGCTGACCACGATTCTGGTGTGCTCAGCAAAGCTGACCCCATCCCCACAGAGCCCCAGCAAGGCACCCTACCTCCAGCAATATGAACTGTAAGGGGTCATCAGGCTTATGGAACAGCAGTTTTTCTGTGATATCCTGAGACAGAGACAGACAGAAGGAAAGAATTATTGATCCTTGGATAGATTGGTGCCTGCACTTCCTGTTCCAATAGCATCTGCGTTTTAAAAAGCAAGATTTTCTTCAGACACCAAAGATGATCCAAGGTCCTTTTCTACAGCTTTTTCTTAAGTCTTATACTTAAGAAAGCACAGGACAAGGAGGGGTCTGGGGGAGGGATAATTTGGTTCAAGCTAATTTTAGACCAAGCTTCTCATGTAAGCCTCTGGAAGGAGACAAGAAATATGTATTTCACCTGAAATATCTGTAGAATTTTATGTTCCTCTGCATAATTCATGGCGACTTGATAGGGGTCTCCAAAAATCTCTGGATTCTCCAATGATTCAAATGTAATCTCTGTTGCTGACAACACATTCTCAACGGTGTTACTGCCATCCTGTTTGGATTCGGAGGTGTGCATCTTGACTTTGAAACCTCGAAGTTCACCCACAGGTGATCTGATCTCAGGTGAGCTTTCCCTGGATGCAGACTATACAATGAGCAGGAAGTGATCAGAACGTGGTGGCTCCTTGACAGCCAGCTGGTCTGCAGTGGCAATTCCACTATAGATGGCTGGGCTGCAGATGCTGGTGCTTCCACACCAGGTAAGGTATCCAGTGATGGTGGGGATTCAACTATAGGTGTGTGGTCCTCAGATTCCTCCACTTCAGATTCTGAAAGATCGTTGAACCTTTGCTACAATAGTTAGCAGATAAAGAACATTTTAAACATATATCTCCACAGACTAGGCACAGGACATTACTCCGTCCTCTGCAAATATGCTGCAGCCACATTTCAAGCATGCACTAATAGGGTTTATTTCTGTGACAGGTCCCACCTGCACCTTCTGCATGATCACAGACACTCTACTTAAGCTCCAGCCCAAGCCTTCAGAACTGGTCTGAATTACGCAGTGGTTGTATCTGTGCCTGATCCTCACTGACTAGTTTTCCTAGGGTGACCCTGAGTGTATATTCTAGGTAGTTTCTATGGAGGTCCCTTGGATGGGACGCGACTCATGACCCTTCCTTGCCTGCGACTCTCGGTGAGCCCTCTGCTGTGCACGCTGCCTGCACTGTGGCTGCCCTCAGCTCCTGCCTCATCCCCTGCTTGGTGCAGCTCCAGCTTTGCTCCCTGACAGCAGCAGCTGAAATTTGTGCAGGCTTTATCCATCCACCCCTTGAGCAGGACTGTGCTGTGTCCATGCCCCACACTTCCATCCCTGGACCTGTGACTGTGTGCGGCCGGTTCCTTCCTCCCACCCCGAGTCCCGATTGCTGCAATGTTGCCTGTTGCTGGGGGAGGCCCGAGGGGGAGCAGGAGCGGCGCTCACCCTCCTGGAACTGGGAAGGAGGGTGCAGTTCTTGGGGACAACGGGTTGTTGACAACGGGTTCGCTTCCTGCAGAAGGGAGGCGGTGGGAGGGGAGGCGGGCGGCGCAGCCAGGGGAGCGGGGGGAGCAGTTCCCGGCCGGGGCTCGCCCGCACCTGGCCCGGCTGTGCGGGGAAGGGCAGGGGGAGCGGGGGGAGCAGTTCCCGGCCGGGGCTCTCCCTCACCTGGCCCGGCTGTGCGGGGAAGGGCAGGGGGAGCGGGGGGAGCAGTTCCCGGCCGGGGCTCTCCCTCACCTGGCCCGGCTGTGCGGGGAAGGGCAGGGGGAGCTTCGCCCCCCGCCTGCGCCGGCTCTTTGTGCCGCTCGCCGCTCGCCGTAGCCGGGAGAGCGGCGCGGGGCGCGGGAAGCCGCGGCGGTTGCCGGGGTAACGCGGTCACGTGCCTCGGCGCTGAGTGCCGCGCGGCCATCTTGGGTGAGGGCGGAGTTCCAGGGCGGAGTTCCGGGCGGGCGCGGGGGATCCTGGAGTTCCTCGGTGGGGAAAGCTCTCCGAACGAGTCTATCGATGGCCGTGCTGGACGATGGCAGTAACTGCCATGTCCGGGCTTTGCTCAGTCATGTCCAGGAACGGTGACTCCACCACCTCCCTGGGCAGCCCATTTCAATGTCTGATCTCGTTTTTTGTGAAGAAATTCTTCCTGATGTCCAACCTAAGCTTCCCCTGGCGCAGCTTAAGACTGTGTCCCCTTGTCCTATCGCTGGTTGCCTGGCAGAAGAGACCAACCCCCCTTGGTTACACTCTGTTTACAGGTGGTTGTAGAGGGTGGTAAGGCTCCCCCTCAGCCTGCTTTCCTCCAGGCTAAGCATCCCTCAGAGCTGCTCCTTGTAGGACTTCTGCTCCGACACATTCACCAGCTTCATTGCCTTTTCTGGACTCTCTCCAGCACCTCAATGTGGGTCCCAGAAATGGGCTCCATTCAGAAGCGACGGGATTTGAGGAGTGGCCTCCCCAGAGCTGAGTACAGGAGGACAATCACTGCCCTGGTCCTGCTGCTCACACAATTCCTGATGCAGGCCAGGATGTCACTGGTGGTAATGCCTGGCCCTGGCCTGGTCTTAGCTCTGGCTCCGGTTCTGGTTTTGGTTCTAGTTCTGGTCTCATCCTGGAAAAGGACATGTCAAATAGCTTGTAAAGGAAAGCAGGGAAGCAAGGGGTAGGGTAGTAGAGTGCTGAGAGAAATATTTCCATGTACTTTGATGTGAGAGGTACTTTCTCTTGGTCTCAGTTTTACACAGATCCAGACAGTTTGTGTTCTGCGTGATGAACTTCATCAGAAAAAGCAAATAAACAGACTGCCAGTTTTCCCCAAAGAGGAGATGAAAGGATAAAGATAAAAGCTCTGCTGGGTTACCACAGTAACCAGCTTCTGACATATTCTGGTTCATGCTCCAGTCTGACAAGAGCTGGGTTTGAAACAACTGGCTCAAAATGCCATGGGGGCTTATGGGGATGAGAGGAGGGGAGATACAGAACTTCAAAAGCTGTTCTAAACTTACAGATGCCACTTCCATTCAGAGCAGTTCACTTGGCGTGTGTTTTTCAGGTTATGCCATTGGCCTTTTAAGAAAAACAGCTGCCTCACTGCTCCAGTACCAGGTTCATGACAGTGCTGTCCATATCCTCAGCCATGCTGATCACTCAGATGGTCTTGCACTGGAGCACTGCTGTTTGCACTCACGGGTTGCCAGGGCATTCCCTCTCTGATCTCTTCTTGCATCTCCCATTTCTCCATGTGACAGTGATGGTTCCAGGCAGCATGGGGCTGCCAGATTTTTTTAACTGCTGATACAGTTTTATCTGAAGGAGGCATCTTGATATCAGTTGTGTGTTAGGTGGTTGTGTGCTGAGCCATCCCAGAGCTGTGTTCTCCACAGCATGACTCCCATGGGTTTCTCCTCTCTGTCCTCTACTGGACCGGACTAAGCAGTTCTCAGCTGCCTACTGGCTTCAAATAGTGTCATGCTGTGGGCAAATCTCGAGGCCCATGTGTTCCTTTCATCTGTGCCTCATTGGTAAACATCAGATCTCTCCATTTTCAACCCCACTGCCTACTGCAGGGATCTGGCTGCTGGCTCTGGAAAGCTAGGATTTTGCACAGGGAAGTAAGATGAATGACTCTATTAAATAAACATCACTGCTCTGTTTATTCTTTCAAAAGAACAGATTAAAAAACCAGAAGATGCATTTTAGATGCATTAGAAATTCTGAGCAAAATAATGCCTTAAATACAATGCTCATGTAAGATAAATCACATGGCTTTTTTCTACACAGGCACATGGAAAGCAAAAGCATATTATTATATCATTATTTATATGGCACCATATGCTAAGTCTGGAACTTAAAGACTTTGAAATAAATAAGAAAACACCAGCTGCAGATTAGCAATACACTCCTTTATTGGAAGTCACTGTGTAACTGTGGCTATCATTCCTGCTGTTAAGTTAAAACTTAAATAAATTGTCAGAGAAATAAGATAGCCATTAGAGATTCAGTGTCTATCTCCTGGGGATGCTTTTTCTAACAGCTGTAACAAAGACCTGCTGCTGGTTCTATCCTATCTCTGTAGTAACTCACTGCATTTGTCCCTGCAGTAATGCACAGTTGTTCAGTAGAGATGGTTGAGCTGCTCACTATAAATAATGTTGGTTAACAATGCGGCCCCTTTTGGGTTAATAAATTATGCTCAAACCACTCTTGAGCCTCTTTGATTGGTTTCTTGCAAGTCTGCAGTGGAGAGTTGGAAGAAATCACTTTCCACAGTCTGTTTACTTTGAATATTTCTTCTTATTTTATTGAGCTGTAAATATACCTATATAATAGCCAAATCCTGAAAATGCCTATCTCAAATTCTGGTCGCCTCATCCACTACTTGAAAATCATAATGAGATGCAGGGGATGGAACATATCAGCAAATTTAAATGTCATTGCTTAAAGGGGCAGAGTGCCTTGGTGAGCACCATGCTGGGAGATTTGTTCCTCTCCTTTGTGTGGGATTTTCTGTCTGAAGCTGGGGTTTCCCGCAGGCTGGGGCTAGTGGCCGGAGCAGGGAGCTCACCTGCCACATGATCCATGAGCTGTGGCTGCCCAGTCGATACTCACATCCCATGCCTCACGCTTCTCTGTATGCTGCAGCCCCAAAACTCTCTGACCTGTGCTTTTCCACAGCTGTGGCCAGACATAGTTAAAGCCTTCCTGAGCTCTGGTGAACAAAGACCAGCTTTAGGTCATGGAGCAATGAGCAGAAAAAAAACCCCCAGGCTGTGAGGCAGAGGGTTGGAGTCCTTGGAGAGACACCTCTGCTCATCTGTGTCCTCACTGGTGACTCTGTGGGGGTCTTGAGGCTGTCCTGCACATTGGTTCCTTATCTCAGTGGTGGGTTAATTGTTCTGCCCTCGATGCAGAGGGTTTTTGAGAAAAAAAATAGGCTAGGAGGAGAGCAGGTGTTGGTGCAAGAGAGTGGAGAAAGCCAGCTCCTGCATGAGGTAGAGGGCTGGGGTGCAAGGGGAAGAGAGGTGGCTGGGGCTGCTGATTTGCACCCAGACTGTTCCTGTACCAGCAAACTTTGCTGTGGGTGTGCTTCTGGCAGTGATGTTGAAGAGGAGACCGCAGCCAGGTGTCTGTGCTCGTCCAGGTGGCTGTGAGTGTGTGCTGGCAAATGCAGCACGTCCCGCAGCCCGGGCTCTGCCCGCATTTCCCAGCAGAGAGCAGCAGAGCCTCGTCGCTGCTCGCACCTCGGAGTGCGGCAGCACTTGCCTCCGCAAGGCACAGCAGTGAGCCTTCGCTGAGCCCGCAGGCGTGTCAGGCCTGTCCAGAGCGTTGGTGTGGGCAAACAGAAGGCACATGCTCTCAATAACGAAGATTCGGGGCTTTTCTGAAAATCAAGATGTTTGCAGAAATCAGTGAGGCCTTTTTTGAAGGGGTGTTCTCTGAATTGTCTTTCTGCTCAAAGTTTGCTGAGAGTGCCTCAAGTATGGCTTCTGAAAGTGGGGGCAACAGGATAAGCAAACCTCTTTTGTATATGACCAGCATGGACTAGGTACCCCTCAAGGTCTCCTTCAGTCCAGTCTTTGGCAGTGCAGGAAAGAGATATGTTATTAGCTTCTGTGTTTGGAAATACTTGTTTTGGGACCCTGTTTAGCCTACTTTAGATTTAACCCTTTCTGTTAAAAATAAAATTTCAGCTGTCTCTTTTTTCCCCCATTTGTAATGTTACCAGGAGTGTTACTGGAGATAAAGATGAATGAAAAAAGTGGGATAGTTTCTTTGCCAAGGTGCCAAAATGAATTAATTGGTGTCTAGTTTAGATAGCATTCTCAAGGAAAACAAGACTTTCTTCCCCGTTTGGAAATTTACGTGCTGTTCCTATGGTATTTAAATAAGTAAAATTTTAAATTGTATTAGAAGCTCCTCAGCAGTATTAACTGGGACAGGTTTTGTAATTCTTTAATTGTCTCATTCTAGTTCCCGAAACTTATGTTTTTTTTATATGTTCTTTTGGATACTAAACACAGACCTTCTGGGAGGCACAGAAGGGCTTGTAAGGCAGTGGGCTCAAGTTTGGTCTCACCATCACATGGCATGAGGGAGAGGGGATGCTGTGTTCTGTCCACAGTGAACCTCCATCCAATCCTGCCTCCATCAGCTGTGAAACCCCAGATGGAAGGAAGGGTCCAGACGTGAAGTTCAGCTGAGGGAGTGGTGCCTGTGGAAGATGCTGGGCATAAAGACAGTGGCTGGGTATTGAGAAGACTCTGGTTTGCCTTTTTGCTCCATCCTGAGAACACTGCTTCATTGCTGTGCTCCCCTCTGCTGTGAACCCATTCCTGGCATTGGAATAGGGAGTCAGGCATGATAAGGAACAGGATTTTGGAAGGCAAATGTATCACACAGTGACAGCAAGATCCTGGATAACTCTGTCAGTAGGTCCCTCTTGAAGAGGCTGTAAGCCACAGATGGTTCTGAGGGGCTTTCTGCATTCCTCAAAGCCTTGTGGCCATGGTACCCTCTTCACCCTCTCTTCCCCACACCCCCTTATTTGGCCTTTATGCCAAGCTAATTTAAAATATGATGCAGACCACCTCAGCCCTGGGGTCACTCAGCTGGCCTCTGCAGCCCCCCACCACTCACCCTAGGTAGGATCTGTCCGTCTTTATTGATGCAAATGATACTCTGTCTCTGAATCATAGCTGTACATGGGAAAGGTGCAATTAGCTGCTGCACAGAGCCAGGCCTGTCTGCCTTCCCTTGTTTAACAGAGGCTTTAATTAAAGACCCCCTGATGCTAGAAAGGCACATTAATTATTCATTTGAAAACATTTACATAGAGTCCCCCGTTTCCCTTCTT